AGGCAGGTCCATTCCCCCCTCCCAGACCGAGCCAAGTGTCCCTGCATAAGTCCCAGGATTCAAACAGCCAACTCGATTTTTTTTTTTATCTCAAGGGAGAACTGAGTTTTAAGGTTGGTTGAAGCATTTATAGTTTTCTAATATTGTTTTTTTTTTTTTTGCCATTTAACAACCTGACATATTAAAGTGTTAGTTTGCTTTTCATATAGTATGTAATTTTAGAAGAAAGAGGAGCTTAACGTCATCTTTTACTGAACATGCTTCACAACTGGAAAACAAGATGGTAAAATTCTAGAATCACTGAGAAGAAGCAATGGGATCCATTTATCAGTGACAGGATAGGAGGACTGGATAAATCTCATCTGTAGCTTTGCTGTGCATTTGCTGTGTAGAATAGTTGCTTCCAAACTTTGTTCACACAGCATTCTACAGAACACTGGCCTCACAAAGTTTCATTAAAAAAAAGAAAAAAAGAAAAAAAAAAGCATAAACTTGGAAAATAATTTAGAACATGCCTATGAGATTGCAAAGTAGTCTCAGATATTAAATTACTGACATCACATGTTAAAATGAAGCAAACAAAACACTATTTTAAACAACACTTCCCCTGATGAGCAGCTTTTAATTTTAACACAAAGCAAGTACTTTCATCATATAGATCTCCAGTTGGGTTGAAATAAAAGTTATTTCTATTTTTGAAGTAGCATGTAAAATAAATTTAGTATTTTATGATTGTCTCAATACTTGTAGATATTTTCTTCCTTGCTAACAATAGTACTATCATTTTGGGTTTATCTTTAGAAAAATATAAAAGGTAGATTTCATGTTTCTGATGATTAATATTTTTAAATAATATTTTACTATTTGAGAAATTTATACAGTGAATTTCAATCATATTTATATATTTCCCCTTCATCAACTTCTCCTAGATCAATCCCAGGTCCCTACCCAGTATATTTCATGCTTGTTTTTATGTTTTTGTTTTCCTCTCTCATTCTTTTTTAACTAGTCCAGGCCAATTTGTATTGCTCAAATACTTTTGGGTGTGGGCACACCTGGAGAATAGTTGATCTACTAGGGTCATACTCTAAAAGAAAACTGATTTCCCCTTCCCCACCTGGTGTTAAAGCCAGTTCAGCTCTGCTAGGTGTAGAACTTCAGGCTCAATTCTGAACCTCTGTGCTGTGGGAGGATCCTTCTACATGCTGTGAATATGTGTTGCTCTCATTGGTTGATAATAAAAGCTGATTTGGCCTATAGGTAGGCAGAATAAGGCTGGGTTGGAAAGCCAAACAGGGAGACAGAGAGAAGGAAGGAAGGAATCAGTAGATGCCAGCCAGCCACAGACGAAGCAAGCCACAAACCATGTGACAAAGTATAGATAAGAAATATAGGTTAATTTAAATGTAAGAGCTAACTAGTAATAAGCCTGAGCCATCAGTCAAAACATTTGTAATTAATATAAGCCTCTGAGTGATTATTTGGAAATGGCTGCAAGACAGGGTGGGACAGAGAAAAGCCTCCACTTACACCTCTGTGCTATATATACTTGCACAGGTCTTGTGCATGCTGTCATAATCACTGTGAATGTATATGTATAACTTCCCTTGTGTGGTCCGAAAACACACCTTTTAATAATCTATTGTGTCTGGCTCTTAGAATCTTTCTGCTTTCTCTTCCTCCATGGTCCCTGAGCCTTGGAGGAAGGATGTGATAGGAATGTCCCATTTAGGGATATGAATTCTAGTGTTTTATTTTCTGCATGTTGACCAGTTGAGAGATCTTTGTATTTTATTTGCCATTTGCTACAGAAAGAGCCTACTCTGTTAAGGGCCAAGAAATGCATTCATCTATGAGAATTCTGTGATAAATTCTAGGCTAAAATGGGCCAAAATAGAACTTGTAAGAAAAAGAAACACAATTTACTCTTTGCATATCTTAAAGTAAATTGATTTCCATTTTTATTTCCTAATTGATAATGTTTTATATTTTACCAACACATGTCACCTCTATATTTTATGTTACAATATTTATGATATATATTAGATTGTATTTGGAAAATGTGCTATGGTAATTTATAAATCAATTTTTGTTTATAATTTTATGGGTCTACTGGAAAACAATTCTCACCACTTTATAAAATTTTAAAACACGTATGTAAATTAATTTTTTAATAACAGAGGGAATAAAGTATTTGGTTGGAACCCCTGCTTCTCCCTGCACAAACTGGGAAGCCCATTTTGCTCTACTTCTCCCAACCCCATCTACACTGAGAAAACTCTGAACAAAGGAATGGCACACAAGTGCCCTCCCAGGGACCTAACTTTTGACCAAACTTGGGCACAGTCCTAGCTCCTCCTGGCTGGCAGATCATCAAACCTCTCCTGAGGTCTATAAAACCTCCCTGCCTTAGCCTGGGTGTGCAACTTCTCTGGCCCCATTTTTTGGGACCTGTGAACCTGCCTGGGAGCCATGCCCAGTAAACCTGCATTTATCTATTTTTTTTTATCTGGTCTGATCTGGCCTTATGCATGGGCAGAAACAGACCATAAGGAATCAACATCTTCTGTCCCGATAAAATAATTGAAAACATCATGCTTAATGCACAGATTTACTGAGTGTGAATTATTTACTATAAGGTTTAGCTGTAACTGTTGATTCAGAGGCTTTAATGTAAAGAAAATGAAGCCAGTATGGTGGCACATGTCTATAATCACACTTGAATTCCAACACAGCAAAGTCACAGAGGGGTGGGTCTGTGTGTTCAAGGACAGCCTGGTCTAAGTAGTGAGTTTCAGTAAAGCTATGGCTACATAACTGGACTGTCACAAAACAAAACAAAACAAACAAACAAACAAAAAGGAAATGAAACAAAAAAAAGAACAACAATAACAAAAAAAAAAAGAAAAGAAAATGAGCCAGGAGATGTCTAATTTAACTATTTTAGGTATCTTTAAGCATTGTTATTCTGACATGTAGTTAATATAATTTGTTCACTATGTTTATCATGCATGTGTTCTTTGCATCTTTCTATGTATTGATGAATTAATCTTCTCATAAACTTCATAAACAATATGAAGTGTTTGTTTCACCTTGTGGAAGTCCTCCCATTTCTCAAACAACATGAGCTGAGTTACTTTTCTGTTGTCACTCAGCAAGTCGATACTAGATTCAAGATACATAGTCTACAGTTCTCTAGTTCTATATCTGTTCTCAGAGTGCTCAATTACCCACCAGAGAGCAATGACAAATATTAGCAGTGATTTATGGTAAATCATTAGCAATTGTTCCACTATACATTTATCCCAATGAAAGCTTGCCTATTTAGGGGTTACTACCCCCACTCCCACCTTGCTCTTAAGAAAAGATCCATTGTAGATGTCTGCATAATTGTCCTAATTCTGGAATTTCATCAGACATACTGTTAACAGTTGGGCAGTATGCATTGAGCATCACCTTTCACATTACAGAAACAACAAGAATAATGAGAATGCTGTCTCTTGCTCATCCATTTTTAATGGATTTCCCTATTTGAATCATGTCTTGTCTATTCATTTCTAAGGGGGCTATCTTCCTAATTTTTTTCTATTACACATCATATCAATATTCTGTTTTTCACAGTTGCTCCGTGGCCTAACACTACTTCCTCCTTTGATTCTATAGTCGGTGTGCAATAACCTTAATGTTAGAAGAGCATAAATGCACGGACTCCTAGAGTTAGAACAAGCATTCAACTTCATTAGACTAATATAGACTTCTCACTGTTGTTGGAATAGGTGAGATGGATGGTTATGTAAAGATTTCTTGGTCTAAGTTTCTATGACTTACAGAATGCAGAAAGTATTTTGGGTCCAAATTCTTACATTAGAAAACTCTCCCCTGAACCTTGGCCTAAAGTTGCAAAGGTAATGATTATCTATCTTGGAATCTCTAAGTATAAAAATATAGATGCAATCATTTTGATTTTGGAAAGTTAAGATGTTACTACTAATTGCAACCAAGAGATTAAGACATGAAAATGGAAAGTGAGTTTCTTGGAAGCATGAAAACTGAGTTGGAACCAAGGTTTTGATCCTGGCTCTAGCATTTCTTCTACCAGCCTTGCTGTTTAACAAGTTGCCTTTAAACAAAGTAACTTCAAACAACTGTTTTATATTTTCTCCCATTTTGTCAGTCAGGAATTTGGGAAGAGCTTGGCTTAGTAGTTCATGTTTTTCCCACAGTAGGAATCAAATATCAACTAATGCTGACTAAAAGTCATGACCTGAAGTTTTACAGGAATTGTATATCCATGGTGACTCAATCAACTGATGGTAGGACAAGATGTCATCTCTTTCTGGGCACTAGTATGGCACTTACACATGACACCTCCAATATCAAGGGGTCTAAACGGTTGGGTATCTTTTTAATGTATGTTTTTTTTTTTTTTTCACAGTGAATATCCCAAGAGAGCCAGCGGCAGACTATGAAGCCTTTAAGAATGGCCTTTGAAATTTATCTGCATAATTTTCATCCCAGTATATTACCTTCAGGATTCACAAGCATTCACAATCTTGCCCTGAATCACAGAAAGAATGTATGGAACCCACATTTCAATATGAAATTTAAACATTTGCAATGATAGAACTACACAACAAATAGAAAACCCAGGCATCAGAGTTCAGTTTGGTCCACCCTATTAAATCCTAACAGTCTTGAAAAATGTTATGAAATTCATTCTTTTCCTATGTCTTCCTTGACAAACATGTATTCACTTCTTGTAGTGAAACTAAGTGGATTGGGTAGTCTGCAAGGTTTTAGATAATTAATATTTGAGCCTTAGCTGCATACCATCTATTAAAATTCAATACCATTTAATATTTCTATAAGAAAGATGGAGCATAAGTACTGTGAATCCAGCTGTAAAAACAAAGCAACAGCAAAATCAAAACACGTCTGCAAATTTAGGTAGAAGAACAGAAGCACAAATCTGTGGTCAGGAATATCATCAAGTGCTGTATATAAGTAAGGAATATGCAGGGTTAACTCCAGATGTACCCTATTGCATAAGAAACCAAGAGAGGGTCACAAGCTATGAAGTGAGAGGAACATCAGGAAGCACACATGATAGAGATGTGGCCATGTCTATCCCTGATTTAAGCAACAACAACAACAACAACAAAACCTCAAGGAATTTCCAAATGCACTTTTATCAAAGAAAGTGAGAAATATGAAAAAAGGCATTGAGTTAAATTTGGTAAGAATATTGCATGCTTAGCATATGTGTTTAAAAATATATAATCTGGAATATTAAGATCAGGAAATTGAAACCCCAACGAAGAAATTGCGTGGAGCACACATAGCATCATTAAATATTAATGATGTAACTCATATAAAGCACTCAGAATGTAAGCATTAAGAACATAAATATTTCTGGAGGGAATATTTTAAAGTAGTTGAAATTGTATGAAGTTTCAATAGAGTTTGGAGAAGAGAAAAAGCATACTTAAGCAATCCATGTGTTCTTACTACAAAGGAAACATGAAACTAGATTGAAATCAGGTGTTGACTTAATTTAATTTCGCCATGCATGTGCTGGGTTGTGTTCCAATTGCTGAACATATGCATTTACATATAGTAATCAAGGCACACCAAGCAGCAGGGAGAACAGACTCTGCCTCCTAATTCTCAAGGGACAAAACACATGGAGATCCTTTCAGTTGGATGTTGTGATTTCCTTGCCTATGAGTGAGCTAATTAAAATGAGTGAGTGTTGTCCAGATAAAGATTCTTTGTTATTGAAATTACCTGAACATGCAAAATGTTAGAGTTAGGGGGAAAAAAAATTCAGATTTCTTTTTAACAGCTCCAAGTTTTAATTACTTAAGAAAAAAGAATTTTACCTGTAAGAACTGGTGTGCAAAAAATGGTTTAAAAAGCACAAGCAGAGCTCTGATTCAGAGCATACTCAGTTCAAGAGATCCTTGCTAGTGAGCGTGTCTGCAGAGCCGCCATATTGAATCAGCTGGGACCATCAGAATGTCCATCCTCGGGTCCCATGAGGATACATATGGGCATTAAAATGGGGACACACAACACTGCTCGTCTGTCATTCGGTGGCATCGGTGAGGGAGAGCTGCCCACCGTTCGTTCTCCTCACTCCTTGCCTCCTGTGGCAGGCATGAAAGCTGACCCTGGAATCATGAAAGTAGGGGAGCGGGTTCTTCCCCTCACTGCGTTCTGCCCCTCACTGGCTGCAGCACTCAGGAGAGCAGACCCTGTACCTTGCCTGGGCAGCACAGTAGAGCTGACCATTTTGGCAGGGGTAAAGGTGAGCAGGCCCAGCGGGGTGAGAGCAGGAGTTCTGATCCCATCCCCCCTCATCTGCCATGTGGTAATATGGGCGAGAAAATGTGCTCTTCCCCCTTTTCGCCCTTGCCACCTGCATTAGATGGGGAGCTAGCATGGGGGGTGGGGGCATGAGAGCAGGGGAGCTGGTCCTGCCCCTCACTGGCTACAGCACTCCAGAGAGTGGGCCCTTTATCTCTCCTGGGCAACACAGTAGAGCTGGATCTGGTGGTGTGGATGCAGGTGATCTGGCGCCGCCGAGGACATAAAAGCAGAATTGGTCCGGTCCTTTACTGCCTGCTGCATGGGGTGAGCTAGCTGGGGTAGTGCTGGGGATCGCACCCTGGTGATGAGGATGAGGGAGACCTTGTGGGCTGACCAACCCTTCTATCACCCAGGCCCAGAACTAGGCCCACCTCAACACCCGCTCTGTGAACTGCTGGAGCATGTGAAGGGGCCATTCATGCAGATCCAAAGCTGTAGGATCTCCATGACACAGGGCAACAACAGGATACCCAAGAGGAATCCCAGTGAGGGCCCAGGACCTAGGGTATAGCAGAAGCCAGAGGCCTCGAACCAGACTATTGATTCATTGCAAGCAAAGGTGTGTGGACCAAAGGTATATACTGCATGACTCACTGGATCACACTATACCTTTTATCACAAGATATAAGGATATGTGATGATATTGTATTCCCCACCTTTAATCCTTGGGAGGCAGAGATCCATCTGGATCTCTGTGAGTTCAAAGCCACACCGGAAACAGCCAGGCATGGTGACTCACGCCTTTAATCCCAGGAAGTGATGGCAGAAAGCAGAAAGGTATATAAGGCATTAGGACCAGGAACTAGAGCCTGGTTAAGCTTTTAGGTTTTTGAGCAGCACAGTTCAGCTGAGAGGCATCCAGTCTGAGGAAACAGGATCAGCTGAGGAATTGGTAAGGTGAGGTGTGGCTTGTTCTGCTTTTCTGATCTTCTAGCATTCACCCTAATAACTGGCCTCAGGTTTGTTTTTATTAATAAGACCATTTAAGATTCATGCTACAAGGTTATGGAAGATGAATGATATAGTTAGCTAGCCAGCTAGATAGACAGATAGATGACAGATATTAACTTAACATGAAAAGTTAAATGAATTAATGGACAGAAAGAAGTGTAGTCTGCTATTAAGTGTTTAAGATATGGACTGGCATGTGGTAGGCATTTGATATCAATATTAACTGAGCAAATTGCATTTTATAGTTATCACTTTATCATATAAAGTAATTTTGCATGCATTATTTCACCTTGGGTCTCACAACAACCCCCTGAAGCAGGTAGACTAGGTAGCTGGCATCATTAGACAGATGCTTTCAACTTGTCAACTTTGTCATAGCTCTTAAAATCAACAGGTCTGACAAAAGCTTTTAGTGCATGACTGATGTTGAGAATGTTCATGCATTAAAGAGAGCACTTTCAATTGTCTCCTAAGGAGGATCCTTTTTTCCATGCTTATTGCCTTTGTTTAACAAAGACTAAAATAGCTAACTGCTATGGAAATGCCAACTTCTTAGTTACAAATTTAGCTGCTTTGATTAATCCCACAGCACTTTATATCCATCTAGGTTACTTAAAGACAGTCTGGGAAAATGTTGCATAGCCCCATGGTAACTTGGGGCACCGGTTCTGCATCCAGCCTCTCTCTCCCTAGAGCAATACATTCAGCTATTTGAGCACTGTGTGCACCTCCACAAAGACAAATACACTCAAAACTAAGACGTTTCAATGAGGGAATTCTGAAAGTGTTTAGAGGCAAAAAAGCAGCTAGGTTTACAGATTCACAGGCAAGATCAGAACTGGAGTTCATTTCCCCCATGGTGAGTCTTATTTTTAATTCCAAAGTGTGATACATGGAAAGATACATGATCTGACCCAAAGGTAGTGGTTTACAGTTGCTACTAATCTAAGTCTGAAATTTATTTTCAATACAAGTTGCCTCTTATATATGGTTTCCTAGCATTAAAAAAAAAAAAGATGGGTCTCTTGTATAGAAATACAAAAAACAGTAAAGGTATGATTTTTTTAATTGAATAAATACTTCATTGATACAAAAGTACATTGGATTGTGCTTTGTATTAAGTGAATGGTTATTTATTAAAGTATCCATTTCTTCTGTTGTTGAGAATAGGAAATATTCTCAATAAATCATTTTGATGCCATATAACAATCTTCTTGAAATTTGTTCATTATGAATTTGTCTAATTTATAATATTCAAAGACAATTATGTAAATAGCTGTGTAGGTATTTCCTGTTTTCAACTCCTTCATTAATTCTAATGGCCTGAAAGCTTAAAATGCATATTTATAAATGTCTGAAACAAATGCTAATCTCTAGCATGAAATACAGAAGAAACTTTTTTTTCAAGACAGGTTTTCTCTGCCTGCTTCTTTCTCCTAAGGACTAGGGTTAAAGTGCCCTACTGCTGCTTCGTTTGAAATTCAGTTTTTGTTGAACTCTCCCAAATTACTATTATTTTTTTCCTCGGGAAGGTGAATAGGAAACTCTTCCTTTCTACTGGTATTTATAATTATTTCACTATCTTAGGTGAGGAAATAATTCACATAATTGCTACCATGTTTTAATCACTGGCTATATGTCAACATTATAGTACGTGTCTAACACAACACTTTAATTTCAAACCAAGATTATCATTTCCATAGTAAATGAGGGGAAATGAAAGATTAAAGAAATTAAATTCAGGGTTTGGAAGATGGCTCAGTGGGTAAGTTGCTTGCCATGAAAGCATGAGAATGTGAGTTTGAACCCCCTGATCCCACACAAAGCCAGATGTGGTAATGCCTGAGGGTTATAATCCCAGTGCTTCTACAGGAGACAAGAAGGAAGGAAGGGCTGATATGCATAGTTGTCTTCTGACCTCTCCATTCCTGGACATGTCCTCATTTACATACAGGAACACATATACAAACATGCACACACCCACATACACACAAATTAAAAAGAATTTATTATTTGAAATTAAAAGTGAAACTAAGTTTGCCTAAAGCCACAGCTTAATCAAGCAACATATTGAATCCTGTGTTCTTCCTAGCACATCACGCGAAATGCTTGTGGCATTACACAATGCCACTATTATAATAAAGCAAGGTTGGAGTTTTCAGAAACCCACATTGCTTTTCTTTTCTGAAAACCCTTTTGGTAATAGAAATGACAGTGTAGTCTGGGGGAGAGAGAGAACAGGCAGACTAAGGCAATTAAGTTGGAGGGTAATGATAGACAGTCATTTTACAATTAGTTAAAACAACCTATCTGTAAAACATTTACATGGCAAGTGCATTGGTAAGGAGGTATGCTGCCTACTTTCCAAATGAAGACCCTTTGGAAAGGGAAAACCCACAGAAGGAATAGGTGCCCACATATTTAAACTGGGACTGGTAATGGG